CCTCAGTGTTGCCCCCGTACTGGACCTGGGACCGGCAACGGGATCGCAAACCTCAGTGTTGCTCCCACACCTCGCTCAGCCAGTGAGCGGGAGCCGGTCTGTATGTGGGATCCGAACCCTCGGGCGGGAGCGCGGCCGCGCTTCCCAAGCGGCGCCCTATCCAGTGCGCCACTGGGCCGGCCCAGCATGTTAGTTTCTGTATCTAAACCTTTTCTAACAGAGATGAGCTGGGGGGCATGTTATTAATTAAAGGATTAGGGTATGTTGGAGCATAGGGATTAGGTGTGACTATATGAATCATAATCTTTGGGTAAACCAAACACGTTCTTCTTTGGATATAATCTTTTTTTTTTTTTGTCCTTTTTGGGACCGTCCGCACTGCACTCAGCCAGCGAGCGCACCAATCGTCCCTATATAGGATCCGAACCCGCGGCGGGAGCACTGCTGCACTCCCAGCGCCACACTCTCCCGAGAGCGCCACGGCTCGGCCCTTGGATATAAATTTTGACTTCAAAAAATTTTTTCAGATTACACATTCCAAGAGGTGGAATGATTTGGTCCTTTAAAGCTTGATGGAATAACCTTCTATATCCAATAGATTTTATTTCAATGCATAATTTCTAGTAATAATATGCTTATTTTTTTTTTTTCTTTTTGTCTTTTTTACTGACCGGCAATGGGATCGCAACCCTCGGTGATGCACCCGCACCGCGCTCAGCCAGTGAGCGGGAACCGGTCTCCACATGGGATCCGAACCCTCGGCGGGAGCGCCGCCACACTCCCAAGCGGCGCACTCTCCAGTGCGCCACCGGGCTGGCCCGACAATATGCTTATTTTAAAGCCTGCTCTGTTTGGTTCTAAAAACCATTCCCTCTTTTCCTTCTCTCTCTCCCTCTCTTGCCCTCCAAAAACTACAACTTCAGTACATGTGACAGAAATCTAATTGTGAGCATCCTAGTCTTTTAGATATGCAAAACTTTATAATCCCTGTAATCCTAATACCAGCATTACAGTCTTTTTACAAGTTGGGGTCAATTCTAACTTTCCCACACTGCACCCTAATGTCAGCAGTGCATTGAGTCTGCTCTCACCAGCCTGGCTGCCACCACTGTCTCCTTCATCTTATTTATCTTCCCCATACCTTATTGTGGCAGAGACTCACTTCTTTGAGATGAAGACTAAAACCTCCCAAACCTCCTCTACCCACACTTCTGTTAGTGCCTCCTGATGGGAACTGTATAAGAAAAGTTCTGTTGTGACTAGTTCTACTTTACAGTCACTTTTTCTTCCTCCTTGACAAATAAGTTTGGCTTTCCCTGGTAATTATAATTTTATCATTGATCTTCTCCACTTGAGTCCTCCTCGATTCCTTCTTCAGAGAAGAGGGGTATGCCAGTTATCAATTTACTTACTTTGAGCTCCACAGGCAACTTCTTTGCCCCGTTTGTGATACTGGAGCTGAACCCTGTAACATCTGTCCTGTGCAGGCTGGGCTCAATGTTAATCTCTGTCCATAGAGGGCGCTGGAGGGACAAGCAGGGAAGAAAGACTTCTCTTCCTGGTCCTGTGTGCTTTGCTTCCTTCTGGCTCCGGCGGTGCTCTTCCCTTGTGCAGGATGCCCAGTGGCACTCACCCCAGAGAGTTTCAGTGGCATCCCAAGGATGAGACAGTTTCCCAACAGTTTCTGAAGCACCTAAGCTGGATTTCCAAGGGGCTTAGCAGCATCTCACTTCTCTTAATCAGCTCTGGCTGCCATAACAAAATACTACAGACAAATTATAAACAACAGAAATTATTTCTCACTTTTCTACAGACTGGGAAGGCCAAGATCAAGAAGAAGGAAAACTCATTTCTTGTTGAGAGCCTCCTTTCTGGCTTGCAGATGGCCACCTTCTCAGTGTGTGCTCACATGGTGGAGAGAGAATAAGCTCTCTGGTGTCTCCTTATATAAGGCACTTATTAAATCAGACCTCCACTCTTAAAACCTCACTTAACCTTAGTTAATTTCTTATTCCAAATGCAGCTACACTGGGGGTTACAGCTTCCACATATGAATTTGTGGAGGATGCAATTCTCTCCAGAGCGCTGCCCCTTCCAGAGCTGGCTTCCCAGGGAGTTCAGCAGCATCCTACCTCCCGCTCCCATGTGGGCAGCTACCAGGTGAGTTCGAAGAAACCCAGCTGTATCCCCAGAGTTCAACTACACCCTGGGCAGCTACCTGCCAAGTTTCATAGGCACTTTCATGGAGTTCTTGTTTGTCAGTTTTGGCTTGTGGCACCCAACAAACTTTACCTGCCATTAGAAAGTTACAAGCTTTCTAAAAAGATCTAAAAACTCACCCTTGAGGATGGTCCATTCTCAAATTTGTACCTTGTTGTATTCTTTACCCTTGGTTAATCTTTACCCGTGGTATTCTTTACCCGTGGTTAATCCTGTTACCAGCTAATAATTCTGTGCATGAAAATTTCACTTTTTAAATTACTGCTGGGTTTCTGCCTCAGGCCTGGGACCTGACAGATGAAAGGGGTCTTTTCTATCCTGCTCTCTCTCACTGTCACCACTTCCACTATTCTGATCTGATTAAGGTGCAGAAGCTGTCGGGAAACATTCATGAAAGGGGTGGTATTACAACTTTATTTAGGCTTGATATAAAGCAATTAAAAAAGACTAAAGGGAAGCAATATTGAAGGCATTACTTAGATGAAATAGACAGAAATTTGTTAATAACTGGATCTGTAGGTGTTGCTGAGAACTAGGCAGAAAGTTAAGATGGCAGCTTGTGGGACAGAATTCCATGGTCCAATCCTCCATGACTGCATTGCCTGCCCCCAGAGAGTGACCACAGAGGAATTAAAACCCTGGGTGGCAGAAAAGGTGACAGGACACAATTGACAGGGAGTGAGAAAGCCTGGACATGAAAGGGCCTAGAAACAGCAACAAAGTAACCAGATGGTCCTGGAGAGAGGAGCAAGTCTGAGTCTGGGATGGGACGCTGCAAGTGTTCACACTGTGTGACTGTGAGATTGTCCCCCCTACACACAAACACACAGACCAGGCTCCACCTCCACGTTGGTGTTCATTGATCACCCCTTCATCCCTAACAGCCGGTGCTCACCACAAAGAATGACACAGTTTCAACAATTTCAATCTCTCAAGCATTTACTAGACATATAGTGTATGCTCTCTACCAGCTTCTGTGCACACAACACTCAATAACTCTGTGTTCCTGACCACAGGCGCTCTCACCCTGGTCTCCTGAGAGCAGAGTGAAGAGGAAGCTCAGTACTTATCAGGCAGGCCGGCAGGTCTGAAGTGATTGGGGTCATTGCCACTCCGGCCCCATTCATTGGCAGCCTGGTCAGCCAACGAATCCTCTTCTCCATGGCCCATGAGTTTCTGAATATTCTCTCTGGCATCACTGTTTTTGAGGCAGGTGTTAAAGATATTAATCACAGATGAGCAACAGTCTGCCCTCCCAACTCTCCCCTTTCCGTGGGATGACCCTGAGAGGAGCCCAGGAAGACCAAGGAAGGAGGGGCAAAAACACTGACCCTGCCTGGGCACAGCCCTACTCAGCCCAGGCTGGTCTCCCTTATGCTGGATGAACAGCACCCAGAGAGGAAGGGTGAGAATCACTCACTCCCACCAGCCACTCAGACCCCACAGTAACTAGAGAAGGAGAGTGGGCAAGTGCAGGAAGGGCCACCGCCTCTACAGGACACTGCCCTACAAGGAAGCTTGCCCCCTCCTGAGTGTCACAGGCAGTGACACTCTGCTCACCTGTCCCTGGCATCCCCAAGAATCTGCATTACCTGATCACTTTAGCAGCCCAGGCACCCCCAGGTCCTCTTTGGGCAGCGTCATAGTTCCCCCGAGCATGAAAGTATTTATCTGAATTTGTGTAATTGGCTTCCCTCATGTCAGAGTAGGCTCTCCACATGTCCCAAGCCCCTGGAAAGGAGAGGAAAAGGCAAAAGTGATATCATCTGAACACAGAGACTCTGACAGCACCTTAGAGAGGAACCAAAGGATGAGAAACCTTCTACTGACTTCAAGATTGCAGCCTGTGATCATAGCACTCTTGGATACCATGGGTGAGAAGGACATTCCTTATCCTATTTGGCTTCTTCAGGTAACTCTAATGAGAGTCATTTAAATGGGCACACCTCTGCTGCATCTGGTTGTCTGGCCCCTGTGGTGCTATGAGCTAAGTAGGGCTCTATGTTATACGTTTAAAGGAGAGAAAGGAGGTATCGCTAGAGAACAGGATTTGTCAACTATAGCATTGCTGAAATATTGGGCCAGATAATTCTTTGTGGTTCTGGAATGTTCTGAGCACTGTAGGATGTTTACTAGTATACCTGGTCTCTACCCACTGGATGCTGGCAGCACATTCCCTCAGTGCGACAGCCAAGAACATACGCAGACATTGCCAAATGGCCCCTGGGCCACCACATTTCCCCTGGTCAAGAATCACTGTNGACATTCCTTATCCTATTTGGCTTCTTCAGGTAACTCTAATGAGAGTCATTTAAATGGGCACACCTCTGCTGCATCTGGTTGTCTGGCCCCTGTGGTGCTATGAGCTAAGTAGGGCTCTATGTTATACGTTTAAAGGAGAGAAAGGAGGTATCGCTAGAGAACAGGATTTGTCAACTATAGCATTGCTGAAATATTGGGCCAGATAATTCTTTGTGGTTCTGGAATGTTCTGAGCACTGTAGGATGTTTACTAGTATACCTGGTCTCTACCCACTGGATGCTGGCAGCACATTCCCTCAGTGCGACAACCAAGAACATACGCAGACATTTGCCAAATGGCCCCTGGGCCACCACATTTCCCCTGGTCAAGAATCACTGTAATAGGGGCCGGCCCAGTGGCGCACTGCTATAGTGCGCCGCTTGGGAAGCGCGGCGGCGCTCCCGCCCGAGGGTTCGGATCCCACATACAGACCGGTTCCCGCTCACTGGCTGAGCGAGGCGTGGGAGCAACGCCGAGGGTTGCGATCCCGTTGCCGGTCCCGGTCTGGTACGGGGGCGACACTGAGGGTTGTGATCCGTTGCCGGACACGGAAAAAGACAAAAAAAAAAATAATAATCACTGTTATACAATTAACCTACATATGATAAGATCCAGGACCTTACAGGAGTGAGGTGGTGACATGGAAGACATATTCTTAGAAAGGCTGAAGAGATACAGCACTCTGCCCTGATGACTAAGATAAAAGTATTCTTGCAGACTGAGTGCACATAGTTGTGACTTGAGAGCCTCTGACCATTAGGGACATAGGTGTCCCTAAGGCCTTTCTAAATAGGCTGGACTGAGGCTGAGAGTTGCTGAGGAAGTGCTAGAGCTGGGCTTCTCATTCGTGGCTGCACATTCTGCTCACCTGGGGAGATACTGAAAGTCCCAATACTCAGGCCACACCCCAGGCCAATTTTCCCAGATGATCTGTTGAGCTGGGGGAGGGGGTGGTCGTCATGGGTAGTATTTAATGTCCTCCTGCTGACTCCAAGACTGATAACATGGAGCTTTAGGAAGTGGTGAGCACACACGTCTACCTGGAAGGGCTGCGTCCTCGTGGGCACCTGGGTTCAAACCTGTGCTCTGCCTCCTGCTGTAACGTCTGTTTAAAGAGAAGCTCCCAAAACACCTGGCACATTCCTCCACATAGGGCAACAAAACCTAAGACAGTGACTCTGATTCTCAAGAGTACTCACAGTGAACTCATCATCCATCACCTTACCTTTAGTAGCCTCACCAAAGAATGAATACCACTGGCTACTGACTCCCAGGACCAAGGAGCAGAAAATCAGGCCTGTGAGAAGCTTCATCCTGCTGAAATGAAAGCAGACGGTCAGAGAGACACAGACAACACTGGCACTTCCCCTTGGGATTCAGACATAAAAGAGAGCCTGGTTGTTATTTCCCTTGGTTCTTATCAGAATCTCAGTGGTTCATCCAGGAAACCTTGCAGTAGGGCCTCAGTCAGAGCCACAAGCCCTCAATTCTGCACCCACCAGCCCTGAATCCAAGCCTGTGTAAGGGGGTACCAAGGTGGCAACAATGAGGAAGAGGGGACTTAGAACCAGATTGTCACTTCCTAAAGTAGCCTGTAATGCACCAACAACCCTCTGCCCTGCATTCCCTCTGTCCAGAACAGACCTCACATGGATTAATACAAAACAGCATAATTATTTTTAAAGGAAATTTTGGGGAATAAATCTTTCCCAGATACCGTTGGGAAAGAGAAAACAAGTAAGTTTTTTAAAAAAATCACTCCTTGAAGTAGTTCCTCACCTGATTTCTGGTGGAGCAGAGCTGCTGGTCCCTGCCTGCCAGGGAGAGTGGCTGGTATTTATACTGAGCCTTCCCTACTGGCATCTTGGGGAGGGCAGAAAAGCCAGACTTGGTGCCTGGGGACCTGCCAGGGAGAGGATTTCTGGTGGAGCAGAGCTGCTGGTCCCTGCCTGCCAGGGAGAGTGGCTGGTATTTATACTGAGCCTTCCCTACTGGCATCTTGGGGAGGGCAGAAAAGCCAGACTTGGTGCCTGGGGAAAGTCCCTGCAGGTCATATCCCTAGAAAACTGCAGAAGAAAATTTACTGGAAACCATCGTTTTCTTCACCCACAGGTCACTGTCCCAATTGTGCAACCCGAGGAAACAAGGTAGGTTTGCTCTGCCTTGGCAGCTGTCCATCATGCCCATTACTACAAATTGTAATTTTACCCCAAGTCCCGCACCCAACAATCCACAATCTCCCTCCTCATTCCTTTTCCCCCACTCCACTTTGTATCCCTAGGTATGCTCTCTCCTTCTGGAAGTCAGTACACCACTGTGATCTTTCTTTCCTTCCTTCTTTCTCTCTTAGCTCCCACTTATGAGTGAGTACATGTGGTATTTATACCTCTTTGCTTTGCTTATTTCACTCAAATAAGTTTCTCCAAGCTCATCCATGTTGTTGCAAAGGGAAAATTTTCATTCTTTTTAATGGCAGAGTAGTATTCCATGTGTGTCTATACCACAGTTTCCTTATCCAATCGTCCATCAATTGACATTTAGCTTGGTTCCATATCTAGGCTATTGTGAACAGAGCTGTGATGAACATGGCAGTGCACCAATGGCCAATTTCAATTTAGATTAACAACAGAAACCTCATCTGTCTTGTCATCCTTTCATAAATCATGTCCCTCACACTATCTGGTATACAACAGGCATTCATTCATCTCTGCATTCATTCTACAAGTACCCACTGCAATCTTCCAATGTGCAAGCACCCTTCCTTGTATGGGGATGTCTCTGGCTTCATGGTGCTTATGTTGTGGTGATCAGTAAATAAATATACAGCACAAATAGCAACATCCCTCATTGTCAAAATCTAATCCATTCCTGACAGTGTGTTGGGTAGCAATTGTTCTTTGAGGGCCAAGGGTATCAACATTTTGAATACCAACTGTTTTCATTATTTTACCAGAGAAAAAAACAACAATCACTTCTTATCCAACTTTCACAAATATTATCAAAACCATTTGGACAACTATTTAACAACCCGCTGAGATTATCTGCACAATATAAAACAATCAAAACACCAATTACCTAATTATTAAATAACTAATGAGCCCATTAGTGGATTCTGGGTATGCAACCCACAAGAACACTCCAGAGAGTTGGACACAAATTCCATTTCTTTCTATACTTCAAAAAATATGTTTTGTAAATGAAAAATATGTTCAAGACAATGAATGAAAACAATTTTGTTTAATAAGGTATACAGGAATTTTCATGATGGAATAAGTCAAATAATATTTATCTTACATTTGTCTATGTGCAAATTCAGGGAACTAGGCGACAGTCTTCTCTACTTGGCAGTGGAAATTCTGCGTACAGATGGCTGTGAGCATGGTCTGAAGCTGTAGATGATGTAATTACTGGAGCGTGTGCGCACACACTCACACACACACACACCATGGGCGTCTGCTTTGGTTGCCTTTAAGAGTACTATCAATTACCCCAGTTCTGATAATATGAAATTGTTTTTGCATCACACTTTTGAGTGGATGTTGATGTTGACACCTTGATCACTCACTCGTGATAGGAGTCACTATTGTCTGCATAACATAAACAGACGTGGAGGGCTGGCCTTGGGTTGTGCTATGGACAGGTCACCCCCAGTAACAGGAGATAAGGCAGAGAATTGAGGAATAAACGCAGGCAGGTCAGTGGATGTGGTGGTGGGAGGCCTCGGAAGTTTGCTTCTGACTGCTTCTATTTCTCAGGGAAACAGGAAGCAAAGTCATCAACTGAGAAGAGGATGAAGAGGTGTCAGAAGTTTCAGTAGAGAAGAGAAGTGAAAAACAGTCACTAGGAGAGCAGGAAAGTGAATGAGCTTGAGAAGGTAGTAGGACTCCAGGGCAGCTCAAGGTTAATGATTGTAAATTTAAAATGAGACTAGTCACCGTACTTGTGTATGTCTCTATGACCACATCAGCTGTCAAGCTGCTGACTTGTAAGCGGGGAAGTGGATGTCACTGCTCAATAAGTACTTGTTGAATTGGTTCTTCTTGTTTACTCTTACTTTTTATTTTTTATTAGCATATTCATTGTTACCAATCATACTTACTCTTTACGCTCTTATCCAATCTCTCCCCTTCCCCTACCATCTCCGCGCTCTAATAACCATAGATTTGTTCCCTCCATCTGATAGATTAACTCTTCCTCTGTTGGTTTGTTGTCTAGATGCTCTGTCCAGTACTGAGACAGGTGTGATCAAGTCCTCCCTATTATCATAAATTAGATGCTTCTTCTATTTCTCTGGAGTGTGATTTGTGGAGAGAGAAGACCCCCGCACACGCACTGGTGCCCCTCCTTGTGTCAATGAAGTTGGGAGTCTGGCGTGCCAGGCATCTGTACAGTGGCTGTGACTGCTGCCATAGAGACTAGCCACTTTGGCAGAGGCTATGGCAATTATAGTGGCTATGGAGGACTATCCGTGTGAAAATGGAGTTTTTGGTGTGCTCCTTACCTGGTTGTGGTTCGGTTCAGCTTCCCCTGGCTCCATCCCTCAGGACCCCGGCAGGGCCTGGGGCAGAGGCAGCATCTTGCCTACTTGTGACTGGGTTCAGCTTCACCCAGGTCCAGGCCTCAGGGCCCCAGCAGGGCCCTGGGTTGTTGAATTATTGAATGAATGAATGAATACACACAAAGGTCAAAGGAGTATTCATTTAAATGAGGAGGGGCTGTAGCGTATAGGAGGAAAGTTAACAAACAGAAAGTGAACATGGGTAAAATATAGAATATAACGTATACTTCAAAGTCCAAGGGTACCCAGGACAATTGGGGATGGGGTTGACCACAGAGTAAGAGGACAAGATCCTTCTCTAAGAAAGGAAGAAAAGCAGAAAGAACAAAGAAGATGTATAGAGAACCTGAGGAAAACCAGGACACCTGCCTTTTACCTGTCATAGGACAAATCACTCTCTACCAGTTTGAATTTGTGACTTTGGCCCCAGACCACACAAAACACAGGGGTAGGAATGTTGTTCGGCTTATTGGTGATCAATTGTGTCTCTAACACCTAACACAGCACCCCAATTATAAAAGATTTTCAGTAATTTTTATTGACTGAATGAGTCAACGCATGAATGACGTAGGAGGAGAAGTAATCTGCATGGACTGGAGGTTAAGAAGAATGGAAAAGCTTTGAAACAATGATGTGTAGGGTTAGGCATTTAGAAATGAACACGGATATTATTAATATGCAGTAAAATCTCAGCTTACTTGAAAGGGTTGAATTTACTGTTAAAAATTATATCCAGACAGCAAACACTTATCCCCACTTCTCCCCATTCCATCCTGTTAGTGCATCATGAGCTGGGATGTTATGACTTCCTGACTGGCTTCCATGTTCCCCCCACCTTGTCCCCAACTAGTCTCTTCTCAATGTAACAACCAGACTATTTGAAACACAAGACAGCTGCTGTCACTCTCTGCTCAAAACCCCCCAGAGGATCCCAGTTTCATTGTAGTTGAAGCCAAAGTCCTTTCAATGACTTCCAAGCCTACACCCAAACTGTCCCATCTCCTGCCACTCCTCCCTCACTGCTGACTTCTCTCCTCTCGCTCGTTTTGTTCCAGCCACACTGGTCTCTCTGCTGTTCTTCAAACCCTGTAGGCACATCTCACCCTAGGGGCCTTGGATTAGCTGATTCTTTCATCTAGAAATTCTTTCCCCATATATTTCTATATAAGAGCATTGAGAAGGGAATAACCTGGGATTCCAGGATGCTGGAAGGTTCAACTGTATAGTTACTGTCACTAAGAGTGTTGGCTGTGAATGTGCTGGAAAGAGGGCTGTGCATGAAATGTGGAAATTCCCCATGGAGGTGAGAGAGGAGAGGGCAGATTTGTCAACAAATACAATAGAGCCGATTTGTCCCCAAATATTACTAATCAGATTGTCTGTATCAGAAGCATCTGGTGGGTGTTTTCAGCATGAGGATTCCTGGGCCCGAATCTTAGAGGTTCTGTTTCAGCAAGTTTCAAGTGGTCTTTAAAAATGTTTTTGTTTAAAAATCTCCCTGTTTGGAAATCATTTCTGCAGATAACATTGGTATGACTGGAGAGAAGGTGGTCAAGATTTGTCAGGGACTTAAGAGAAGACACGTCAAAGAGAATTGCAGGTGAAGAATGGAGAGATGGCAGCGGGGAGCAGAGAGAATCAGACCCCTCTGTCCCACTCCATTGCTCAGGAGGAGTGGCAGGAGGCTTCCCAGTAAGGAAGAAAGGAATAAAGTGGAATCAACACAGGAAAGGCAGGATTTCAGTTTTTTTAAGAGGAGAAGGAAACAGACAAGTATAAAAGGGGATTCTCACCATGGAGCCTTCTCCCCAGGGCTTGCTGGAAGGCAACAGTGGAAGGGAAGTTGAGTGTAGGGAGAATTGAGACTGACCCACAGAGAAATTAGCTTATGTGGAGTGAAAGCATAAAACCAATAAGAGGGGTAAAGGAAACAGTGGTTTGGCATACTGGTCAGTGACAGCAGATTAGGACTATTTATTGCTCCAGGCCTGAGTGTAGCGTGTGTGCTGTGGAGGCTGATACTATCAGCTGGTAGATCTACCCCCCACCACCCAAAGCCCAAGTGGACTGTACGATAAAACGATGTGGTGTCCTTCTGATCTTCTCCCAAAGGTGCTGAAGTCTACTATTCACAGGAGTTCTAGAGAGAATGGAGGGACAAGGGAAGAGTGGTTAGTGAGGGTAGATAAACTATACTCCCAACACATGCTTAATATGAAAAACTTATAAATAATAAGATTGTTTTTGAAACTCATACACAGTATTCAAACTTGAAAGCAATAGTCCTCATAGGCCAAGTCTTTGTTTTTTGAGATT